AGAGCGTTACGCAGTGGCTGCCTTCTCTTTGTACGTCGCCATCATTTTCTTGATTTCAGCAATTGCTTTGCCAGGGTTCAGACCCTGAAAGAGAGAGTCCAGTTAGTTGCTCTGGAAATCAGCCCAGAGTGCCCTCCCCCTTGCCTCTCACAGCAAACATAACAAGCTCACAAATATGCCAGTCTTCATTAAAAACAGCTGGCAAAGTAAGTGCGCAGCACCCATTTTTAGAAGCTGGAGTCCAGTCTACTATTGTGCTTCCCTTGCAATGCTGGCAGGGTACAGCTCTACACGGCCTGCTCCAGGTAGGATGGGCATCACGGTACGCAGACACCTTGGATAAGGCGCGCAGATGCAGATTTAGCGTCCTCCAGCCTCAACACACAAGGAAAGAGCAAGCCAGACTGAGTTTAGAGCCATGCTGTGCCAGCAGGGAGCCAGCGCAACTTGGACATCAAGCCTTGGAGCGAGAGCACACAAATGCTTCAACTCCTTGTCTGGGGCAATATCCGTACAGAAAGGATCCTGTTGCAAACCTTACTGCCTCTACCTGGGGGCTGAACCAGAAGCACTCCCCACTGTTTTAAGACAAATACCCATTTGACTAGGCAGGACTCGTTTTAATCAGCAACTCACGGATCAAAAAAAAGACCTAGTGGTTGAGCGACAGAAACTCTAATAAAGTTCAAGCAGGACTGAACTCGATACTTTTAGGTGTATTTGGAGATGACCTCTGGAGGCAGGAAACTGCCTCATAAAAGCTTCACAGTAACGTTACAAGAGCTTGCGTTATACTTCAGAGTAGGGGAAAAAAAAACTAGGACACTAGGGAAGTGGACAACAGCACTAAGTCACAACGTAAAAGTGCTCCTCACACACAAACTGCCCAGCTTTCCAAGAGTTTTTATGTTATGTAGACACCAATCACATTGCAAAAGCCCTTAATCAATCCCGTAGCGCTGCTCCTAAACTAAGCATGCCTAATCTCAAAATGAGAGAGGGGATCACAAGTGCCCTGCGATAGCGTCACCATTACCGCAGCAGCACTGCGGGACAGAGGGTGAACAGGAAATTGCCCTGTTGCAGAGCTCCCCAGGCAGTCTTTCAAAGCTGATCAAAACAACAGCCAGGATTAGAGCATGTGCCTGGAAACATGTTATTATCCCTAAGTGTCTCTCCTACTTGAGGAACCAAGCCCTGGTGTGCTATTTCACTATATTATGGGCATTCATACGTACAGTCAGCAGCTAAATCTTCAGATTGAATCTTCACCTTTAGCTGAGCTATCAGATCATGAGCTAGCTCCCCATACAAAAAGCCAGTTATGTGTAGCCAGTGATTCACCTTCTAATATACAAAATGAGCATGCAGTGTTTCTGTCAAACACCTGCATATCCAGATCTCAAGCATCTCATTTTCCCCAAATCTGTGATCTGCTGACCCAAATATTTGCCTTCATATTATTTTCACAGCTTGAGAAGAATTTTGCTCCGTCACCAGGTGCAACCAAAGTCCAGCTAGAAACTAAAACAGCTGGTAGGAAAATGCAGCTTGATTATCTGCCCCAGAACAGGAACAAGATCATTGCGAGATGAGGAGTAAGGCAGCTTTGATTAGGAAAAAGCTTGCTCAGTTTTCACTAGAAATACCAGAGAAAACAGATCATCCAGGAAATGCCTCTTTGTCAGGACCTTAGCATACATCTTTTACCCCCAAAGTGTTGAAAATCTGCATTACACAAGTTGCACAACACACCACAGATTCTTGTTACCACTGGGGTTTAAGGTAGAACTGCTTTGTGGTTAAGCATATTACTTATAATGCTAACATCAATCGGATTCACACAGGACTGACTTCCCCATAGCACTTCTGGCAGTGTCCCTCTTTTGAAAAAGCTTTCAAACAGGGTGCTTGCAAACATGCTGGTAACCCCAGGAGGGAAACACACAGGAAGGATACGTACCTTAGGGCAAGTCCTTGTGCAGTTCATGATGGTATGACAACGGTAGAGAGAAAACGGGTCCTGAAGTTGTGCCAGGCGTTCCTCTGTGTAGTCATCTCTGGAGTCAATCATCCAGCGGTAGGCCTGAAAGTCAGTGTCATTTGACACACCACATCCTTCTTCGAGGCGTTGCAATCAAAATGATATATGAAAAGCAACGCCTAATTTAGGACTTTTGGTTCAGGATTGGGACTGGGTAATACTGTCCCATGTGTACTGGCAGATACGTGCACTGCTTCTAGAGGTCCCATGTGACAAAGGGGATCTGTCCTTACCTGCATCAGTACCGCAGGGCCCAGGTACTTGTCCCCGTTCCACCAGTAACTGGGACAGCTGGTGCTGCAGCAGGCACACAGAATGCACTCGTAGAGTCCGTCCTGCACACGGGCGGGAGACCACAGTCAAGCCACGCCACAAACCGATGAGGAAAGCTTTTGGAAAGGGGATTTACACAAGCACATGCTTCCCTCGCCACCTTCACCTCCACTGTCTCGACACAACAGAGCAGCTCTGAAAACCTTATGCCGAAGAACCGTTTCTGGTGTTTGCAGAAAGTAATTCCTATAAGCGGGTCTTTTGGAACAAGACACATGATCCTCCGCTCTCGACCCATGTACTAACTAGGTTCTTTAGAATGACAAGGAGAAAAAGTAGACACTGAAGAAAAACGTGAGAACTGCTCAATTTTCCTGCCTTGCTTGCTTCCAGCTTGTCCCAATAAGCTCCCAAGGAAAGGAATCTGCATGTACCTGATTAACAATTCAGGGCAACGTTACAGAAGAGAAGACAGACCAAAGTCTGCCAAAAAGCCTAGGGAGGAAGTAAAGAACTTGCAGTTTATCATGCGTTGTGAGAGGATCCCCAAGCACTTACAGAACAGCAATGGTGAAAGTCTTTAGCCATTGTGCCCTTTTCATGGGGATGAAGGCCTTCTTACACAGGCCACTGAAGAAAAGAAACAGGTCTACGTGAAAGTTACACCAGACAAAAAGACAGTTAAACTCCAAAAAGCAGAGGTCTCCCAAGTCTATTTAACATGAGGGTTGGTCAGGAAAGCAGAGTCCGGTCTGGCTTAAGCTATATTCCTGAGTGTTGCTTTTTGGGGCAACAGTCTCATCGAGTTTAGTTTAGGAAGATACATACCAGAACTCCTCCAAGCTTGTACCAAGTCCACTGCATTAGAGCGGCTGCCTCAATATATATTGGAAGACTTACAAAAGGACAGTTAGGCTGGAAATGCCTTCTTGCTCTAAGCTTGTCTTATTTCTAATTGTAACACCTCAAATTATTGATAATTTAAAGGAAAAGGGGGGAGTTTTTCAAGTGACTTCTGTCCAACCACTGTTTCTCATGCATACAGGCTATTCCGAAAGAAAGAGAAACTTGAGAAAAAAAAACGTCAGAAAGATTCAAGTATAGTGCTCACAACTAACCTCAGGTTCACTTATTTTTACTTAAATGAAAAAAGATTTCAAGGATGCTGCTTTACAAAAAGCATCTGAAGGGAGTCCTTGTAGAGTTTACCCATGCCCTCAGATAACATTATGAAGGGGTGCAGGAGAATTATCTTTTGCCCTTGGATAGAAGTTCTTTCTAACTGTAAAATCCTGGGGCTGTTAAGACATCACAGCACTAGTCGCATGGTGCTGTTGACATCTCGGGCACACGACAAGTCTAATCATCAGACGTTAGCTTCACGGCAAATACAGCAATAACGGAAAACTTTTGAAGATTGCTGTAAAGAATCAGACTGTCAGCTTGCATGTTTTCAATAAGTCTCCTTTAACCAATCTTCCTCTTTGCTGTTCATATGCAGCCCTCTTATACCTCTTACCAAAACCTGGTCTGCCTGCCCACTTTGAGTCGGGTCAGCAACAGCACCGCAGCAGAGCCCAGGCCTAGCTGTATCGAAGGATCCACCAAGACAGGTCAGAGGCAAAAGAGACCCTTTGATTTAATGATACTTACTGTGGCAGCAAAGGAAATCCAGATGAGAACTTACCAGTAATATAAACTTTTAAAAACCTGTCCATCTCCCAGCTGTTCAACTGGTTCAGACAGTCTTTGGCTTTCTGCACCGACTCTGAGCCAACAACACCAAACCCCTCAGAAGCTTACTCCCCCCAAAATAACACAGCATTCAAGATAGACATCCAAAGACTTGCACCAACAGCAAGACTACAGCATCTTGCTTGTGTCTTCACCTTCGAAAGAGTTTAGATTTCAATATTAGTTTTAGGGCTGTAACACCCAGCAAGTAGGGACGGGATAGTTTTGCTAACTGTGCTTCTGCTAGATCAGACAAGCATAGCACCAAGCTTGACAGCCTTTATCCAGGTATAAACTGCAGTGCCTTATCTCCACGGGAGCATTACAAGACTGTACCCTTCACAATGTTTTTACAGACGCACGCAGTTTTGCGGTGCAAAGAGTGGAAATGAGGTCAGAGTACCCACCACAGCTGTGTTTTGCATTTTGTTAGCAAGTGTTACCCCTAGCAATGCAGACACGCTCCCTGTTTCAGGGAGCAGATTCCACCCACATCAAGTTTTATACCAGACAGCTCTGTCACTAGATGAAACAGCACAGCTACTGCATGTTAACATTTAACCCAGGTCTTATCTGGAAGGGATTTCGATGGTAGAAAAGAAGCAATAACCAGTTTCTGACGGTCTTCTATGGACTGCAGGTACTGCGCCTTGCCCTGTTTCGACTCATCCTTCTTTTTCAGGTAAGGCTCAATGGATTTATACTGTGCATAGAAGTTGTTCAAGTCCTAAGATTCAAAAGGCAAAGAGGGTACATTTATCGTGTTGATCTATCATCCGCTATCATTCAAACAGCAAACATTATCTTGTACATCAACCTGCCACATTCCTCCAAATACAAATAGATTTAACCGCTGCTGCGGAGCTCAAATCCACCCATTCCAGAAAGCATCAACAGAAATAAGATGCAAACTGTGGAATATTGCTTTTGTCACCATCCCTCACATCATTCCTTTCTGATTCAACCCAAACCCCTTGTTATCTGGAACGGTGTGACCCGTGGCCGCAAACTGACCCTGGCAGATACTCACTGGAACAAGATCCTTCACCACATACATGTGGGGGAGAGGGTAGATTTTAGTGATCTTGCTGAGATCAGTGTCAATTTTTTTGGTGCAGGCCAGTGTGTTTCCTCCAGCAATGTTCATAGCACAAGAACCACAGATGCCTGAGTGGGAGGAGGAGGAAACAAAAAAAAAAAAAAAAAAGAGACAGAGAGAAAAAACATTGGATGTAGGATGCATACCCTCCTATTCTACTTGGGAATAGATCCTCTTTGCCCCAAACTAGCCCTTAGGCTATCTTCCATTTTGCTGTCTTCAAGAACCTCTGTACGTGACAAGGAAAACGTCAGAAGCTGCCACTGGGCTAAATGTACTGCTATTTAAATAAAGCGACTTCCATGTTCTTTATTTAAAGTCTAAACGCACTGCCAATGCCAAACTTGCTTCTTCAGTGGAAGAGAAGTGGCTCAGACAGCTCATTGCTTTCACATCACATGTCACTTTAGATGCTACTTAGTGCAGGGGGAAAGAAAGAGCACAGGTCATTGTAGGAAAAACTCATCAAGCATGTTTGTGATGCACGCAGCTTTGTTCCCATGTTTGAAACAAAGCTGCACTGCTCTGAAATGGCTAACACTGAGATTACAGCATGGGAATCAGACGCTTCCCCCAGCAGCTCTACAATTGCGATCAAAAGCATCCCTAAAGGGTGGGAACATAAAATGAAGTTCCTAAGACACAAACTTCTTCCTGTACCTTCTGCAGCAGGAGACAATTCTGCCATAAACTGAATTCATTAGTCTTCAAACATGAGAGGACAGAGACTCATAGAACAAACAGCACGTATGCAGCATAAGAGAACAACAAACAGCATATATACAGCATAACAAATAGATTAAACGACACTGCTAATGACCTCCCAGTAACACAGGGATCAGATATAGCCAAGGAAAGTGCAAGGTAACATTCTAGCTTTTACAGGAAAAAACATCACAGAGTTGTCACAGACAATACTTGGGTGAAGAGCTCAGGTATCCAATTCAGATCGCCACATGCGACAGGCACTATATTAGTAAGACAAATGTTGAAAGGAGGTAACCCTAAATTCAGAGGATTTGACAAATACTGGTTGATGCATGTCAGACAGAAAAGCTATTGCTCCTCACAGTGGTGAGCTAGTCCTCCTCAGCACCCAACGTGTTGCCTAGACATCTTTCCCCCTCACTGAGGGATAAAGAGACTGGCACTCCCACAAGGTTATTCCTCCCATCTAAGAAACTGTTCCAAGCATTTTCCAGTCAACCAGAGGGGGAACCAGGACAACTGAAGTTTGCAGAAACGAGCCCACAAATAAGCAATAGGGACACATGATCAGAGGTTTTCCTGTGTGGCAGAAAGAGACAAGATTGGACCAGCCCAGCTTGAAAAACTGACTTCTGTTTCCCAGAGAAAACCATGCAGGGGAATTATTTCTTCTGCTCAGGAACAACGTGTGCTATCTAAATATCAGACACTGAAAACAACCACACTGTATAAAATGCTTCCACATGTTATGCAGATTCTCCAGGAAGCACCTGCATTTTAAAGAGCATTTTCCATTTAGTTCTAGGAAAAAGACGTTTTTATGCGTCGGACAATTGCACCTGAATTTCCAGTATTCAAAAATCCACCTAATCAGATCAAAAACTCATCCCATAAAAGCATCCTCCCTTTTTGCATTTTGGCAACAATTACCTCAAGGTCAGCACACCAACATTTCCCATGAATTTTGACTTGTTATAGGGACAAATCACCCAGACTGGAAAGTTTGGGTGCAATTAATCAAACAGGCTGATTTGTACTGGTCTGAGAACCGGCCAGCAGGTCTGTAATGTAAGACACCCTGACAGCCTTTTCCTCATCAACCATTTTCCTTGACTGAAGGGCCAGAAAAGATTCCTGAAGCTATTCCCAGAAGTCATTCTCTTCCAACTGTGTCCATAGTTACTTCAGCAACAGCACTATATGAAGCAGCCCTTACAATTCATTCCCATTCACCACCTTTTCCCCCCTCAGAATTTTGCTGTTAGAACCTCTCTTGCTAGATTCGTCTTCAGAGTCTCTCACTTGAGGGCAGCAAGATCAATAGCATTAGGATGGAAACAGGAACGACTAGAGCTCTTTAAACACACCGCTTATAGCTCCTCCGTGTTATGTGAATTTGACCTGTGAATATGAGCTCTAACTGCACTACTTAATTCATTGAGGTATTTCATACACAACATCTGGAAGAAAAGAGCAGTACATTGGGGTCTATCCTGAAGCTTTCCGCTAGCTACATGCACACCATCAGCTTTAGCTTTTATTTGGGCAACAAATGCCCTTCAAGAACAATTTTCAGTTAAGCAAACTGAAAA